CAGAGGGTAAGTAGTGCAGGGTAGACACCAATAAATGCTGCTTCACGGAAGGAAAAGATTGTCCCCACCACCACCACTGGAAGGACCAGAAAAGTGCTGTGGGGCTCCAGTCCCAAGACTCCAAAGAAATAACATCTTAGGATTCTGAATAAAGTTTTTCCAGACACAGTTCCAGGACTTTGGGGAATAACCATTGAACAATCAAAGGCAAATTAGAGGTATTAGAAAATGATTATCCAGATGGTCCCAGACTTACAATGGTTCAATTTAAGATTTTTCAACTTTACTATGGTGCAAAAGCGATAGGCATTCAATAGAAACCATACTCCAAATTTTGATCTCCCCTCCCCCCAGGCTACTGATATGTGATGTGATAGATAAGCTTACATGAGATATTCAACACTCGATTATGAAACAGGCTTTGTGTTAGATAATTTTGCCTAACTGTATGCTAATGTGAGTTCTCTGAGCACACTTAAAATAGGTTAGACTTAGTAGCTATGATGTTCGGCAGGTTAGATGTATTAAATCCATTCTCAACTTGTGATATTTTCAACTTTTTTTTTTTTGGTGATTAGTAGTTGCTCAGTTCTTTTTTTATTATTTTTGAGTATTATTGGGGTACAAGTGTTAAGGTTACTTGTTGGGTTTATTGGGATGTAACCTTTTTGTAAGCTGAGTATCTCTACTCTGTAGCCTTTTGCAAGAACAATAGATCCTGCACATTATAGATGGAAACTGATTAGGTTACAGAAAAGATGGTTTGTGCACAATCGGGAAATGGTAGGGCCCTCCGCAGGCTTGGAGGAGCCATATGCATTTTGACAGGGCTGATAGATGTGGGAGCACCAGGCTACAGCTGAAAATTCTGGCAGGTCGATCCGATCTTGGAGGTGACACACATCCAGGTGGGAAAACTAATGAATCAGAGGAAAGAATCCAAATTTTAAAAGATTTTTTTGAAAGTCTGGAGCCAGGAAGATAAAATTTAATAAGGATAGTTGTGAAGGCTTCTGTATGAGCTGTAAAAAAAAACTTCATTTGCAATGAGCACTGAGCTCTCACTGGTGTGCTAGGAGAATATCAAAAGTTACCAGTGTCTGTGCTCAGCCCCACTTAATAAAGAAATAAGAAATCACATGTCTCTTATGGAAGAGAGTTACAAATAGGGAATTACCTGGAAATCGTGCCACATGAGGAGAATTTAACCTGGGAAAGAGAAAGCTGAGGCCAAGCAAGGCAATGGCAGCCACATGGAAATGTCTGCATAGCTTGCCCGTGGCTCCAGAAGCTGCCATCATGCAGGCAGAAATTACGTCAAGGGATTCCAATGCAAGAAAAGGAAGATGTTTCCCACAATCCAATGCGTCCTGAGGAAATCTTTGTGTGGCTTCACTGCATACCAGGGGCTGGGCTGTGCCTGGAGATTAAAAACCAAGGGACCAAGAGAGAGACGCCCTGAAAACGGGCAGTGGCAGTGTGAGCTGGAAAGGCAGGGCCAGCTGGGGCGCAGCGGCCAGGGAAGCTGCCGGCCAGGGGGGTGCGCAGAGCACGTGTGTCTGCAGAAAGTAGCGAGTGCAGGCAAGTCAGAGAGAGGCTTGGAGGTCACACGTGAGGGACAAGAGGCCAGAAGGCAGCTTGCACCAGCACGGAAGGCCGAGCTCTGTGCTGGAGAGCGCCACTGCAGCGAGGTGCCGTTGAACGTGATTACCAAGTGCAGGTGTGACTCGGTAAGATGGCTACAGAGCCGTCACCCTTCCTGCAGCGTGGGTGTCACTCGGAGAGCTGGGAGGCCGGAGCTGGGCAGACCGGGGAGGAGGGTGTTGAGTATACATGAGATTTGGACTGAGGGGGGATCCCGTGGGGGCGTGTTGAGACGAGAGCCCCCCCACACACTGGGAAGGCCGGTCAGTGCTGGGAGCGAGAGGAAGGGCGCTTGATGTGTGCCAGTAGCGTCCACCCCCTCTTTGAAGTGGCCAGTGGCTCCAGCCCTGGGTCCGTGTGGACAGAGCACATTTTCACGGCTCTCTAAGACGCCGTGGAGGGATTCCAGTGTTCGCCAGGAGGCTGCTTTGAAAAGTCTTTATCGCACTGAAGATTCAATGGTTCCAGGACTTTCAATTTTTTTTTCTGAATCTAGCCCAGATTCTCTTCTCACCCCTAAACAAAAGTGTGTCCCAGGTGAGAGCTGGTGTCCCCTCTTTGTGCACGACTAACACCAGGCCTCTGTCTCAGCCCTGGCCTCGCTCCCACACGCAATTCCAAATCTGCCTCTGAACAGACCACCTACCGTCCTCCAACTTAGAAACCGGACACCTCAGCTCTCCCCGAGTGCTGCTTCCATGTCCCCCTGGACCGCTATTCCTGTCACTTGTGCCACCGGACACCCAGCCTTGCACATCCCAGATCTTACCCATTTCCTGGACTCCCTGCAGCAACTGTCCCCAAGCCCTCTACATCCCAGTAGGGCTCTGATTCTTGCAGATTCCATCTATCTTCATATTACAGTGTCACCCACACACCCCCGGTCTCTGATCCAACCCTCACAGCCTCTCACTTGGACCCTTGCAGGAAGCTGTCAAGCAGTCCCAGTCCTGAGCACCCGGGGTGGCCTGATTAATGCTGCACAGAGTCTCTCACCTGCCCACTACCCACGTCTGTCCTCCCTCCTCCTCCCTCCCCTTGGCCCAGGTAAAAGCTTTCAGAGTATGTCCAGTAGTAAGAGTCACATCTCCTTAGCTCCTAAATGCCTAGATCGTCCCCATCCACCAGGCCACCACCCTGGCAAATTCTCTGTCCAGCCAGGCTGACCTACTCCTTCCTTCCTGAGCCAGCCGGAATTCCAGTGGGTGTGAGCACCCTGCGTGGAGCACACTGCTCATCATGCCTGAGCGCCCACATGCCTTGCTCCTTTGCCGTAGGGCCAGACTGACTCAGCCTGAGTCACCGGTCTCCTGGGATCACCCACCCTAGGCAGCCAGCACCAGGTGTCAGCTCCTTTGTGTGTCCCTGAGGATGTGACTCCTGGCCTCGAGGACAGTGGTGAAGAGTCTGGTTATTTGTTCCCACTTGGCTGCAACGAACGGCTGAACACTTCTGGGTCTCGGTGTCCACGTTTCTAAAATGGACACAGTCGTTCCCTGGCAGAGGCTAATACTGCAGGGACTTAGGCTGGCAGCCCTAAAGTGGCTGGCACAATGCAAACTCACACACCCCCCACGCCCACTCCCAGCGGCACCTGTGCGTCCCAGCCCGGCTTCCAAGCTAACACAAAGGTGAACTCATAGAAGTGAATTTGCATTGATACAATTTTTCTTAAAATCTCAGATGAAATCCTAAGGAGGACGTAGTAGCTAAGACAGAAAAAGAAGGCAAGTGGCAGGAAGTGACAAGTACAGGGAGGGGCTGTCTGGAACGGCTCTGGGCCAAGCCCACAGATGAGCCCAACCTCCAGGAAGACGCCTGCTAGGGACGGCCAGGGGACTCTGCCATCAAAGCTCATGGGGATAAGAAGGGACCACAGGAGAGAAAACTGACCAAGCGCAGAAATTGTGCCGGGCACAGTAAGGAAAGCAGTCAAGGCCAAAGAGAGTTGAGTCTGAGAAACCCTCAACGTGTGAACTGATGCGAGATGTTTAATCCTTGGGATTTTTCTCTTCTTTTTTGGAGTATTGTACTAGCCACTGCTCGGTTGTTACATGGAGCTAATTAACCCCAAGCTTATAGCATTAAATATAGACAGATTTACTTGGTAAGTGTTAAATCATTCGAGGAGAGAGGAAATGCATCATATTTACTTTGTCTTTCCGGATAAATATAAAGACATGAACTGGGAAATCGAGTGTTGTTTTGCTTCCTTTGCTTTGCCATGTGGGCGGGGTAGACGGGCCCTGTTTCGTTTTCCAGACTGAACCCATCTGTGCAAAACACCGGGCCCTGTTCTGAGGTTGCCAAGGGGAACTGGCGTAGCCGACATGATCGACTGAGCTCAGGGTCAAGGGGACCAGCCTCCAGGTGGTCTTTCTGTGACCACCCACGTTGTACAGTGACAGCATGTGCCCCCCGACCTGCACTGAAATGTCGGCCCCCCCAAAAATGAGATGGACATGCTCCCACATACGTGTTTCTTCACTACAGAGCCGTCATATAGCCGGCTGTGCCCATTTCCAGAAAGTTCTATGCACTGAACTGCATACTTAGCATCAAGACTTTTCAAAGAGCAATGAAAGCAAAACAGAAAGAAGGCTTTTGTGTTCTAGGAAAGAAAGCATTCATTTTGCCAGGACAAAGTGTGTAAAAAGAATAAATTATATTTTAAGATTAAATGAGAATTATAAAACAGTGCCACTAGAAAAGTAGATTTTTTTTTTCCCCCTACAACACTTTTAGGCAGGATTTCTTCTGTCAGGAGTGGGAGTTGGGTCTTGGCAAACAATGTCCTCAGAGGAAAAAAAATATATATAGCTTTTATTTGTGAATTTGAAATAAACATCTAAGTTTCCAGAAACAGTGACATGTCACTTATTATACAATTCTTTGATCAACCTAAGGGACTCGAAGCTCTATAATAATGTGATTTGTACGTGATTTACAGTGTCATAAGCTTTTTAATTCTGATATTTTGATAACAAAAGGAGTGGGCTGTACAATATAAATGACTTACTTTGAAAATGTTAATTTTCTGACTGCTGAAAATAAAATTGGGTTTTCTAGAAGCGACTAATAAATCACTTGTAATAAAACCTTTAATAGATGTCTGAGAATTTTATGGCCACGGAATAGTTGTGATATCTTTTGGTAATTAAAGAAAAAAGTTATAAAAAAGTTCCATATAGAAGAAACAAGGAATCCATAAAATTGTAGTTTCTTAATAGTGATCTGGGTGCACGATTACATTTTTAAATGGCTATGGTCATCTGACTAGAGAATGTTTGCCACAATGCCTCAGTGAATGCCAATGAGTTATTTATCATGTACTAATACTAACTTTCTTTCCCTAGATGCAAAGAGCTTAGCTGAAATGCTCATGAGGTAAGAACAATATGTACCACCCCAGATAGCACGTTTAAAAGAACAGTTTTGAACTCGCCTCCATGATTTCTTTGTTTTTTTAAAGATGAGAGTCCGACATTGACTACCCATTTTCTCTTTAACGTATAATTTCCATTTATATTCCAAAATATCCATATAATGCCTCGTTATAGATGGAGATACTGAATGATATATTTTGAGATGTGCAATGAGTAGTTGTCTTCTTGGCCGAACTCAACCAGTGATTTGTACGTGACATGATTTGCACATCCAGACACACGTGCACTTGCGTTGAATGTTTCCCATGAAACTGGGAAGAAAGAGACACGTCATAAGTAAGCGGGCTTTGTTTTGCTTCCACCTGAATATACTCCTTGTGAGGCCAAGCTTTCCATCTAACAGTTAGCCAAGTTAAAAGAAAACCACAACGGGAAATGGGCTGTGCTCTTCGAAGGCAGTGGGCTGACCCCAGGGAACCTCCACTCCTGTCACCGTGGCCTACCCACTGCCAGGTCCGGAGGGCATAGCCTGCGTGTTCCATTGCTAGGAGTGCCCGGCATGGTCCTCCCCGTGGGCATGGGTGGATAGCGGCTATCGAATGTGTAAAAGAAGGTTCACAACCATGGAAGACAACAGGGCACCCTTCGCAGCTTCACTTTTGCACGTCCACAGTGATTGTGAGGGGCAAAGACATGACAAAGAGCGTGTTGCATTCCTTCCTTGTCCCTGAATGCTATTTTCCACTCAGCCCCCTCTCCAAACAGTTGGCTTCCTTATGCTGTCCAACCTCCTTACTCCATAAAAACCCAGAACACTCTAATATTACACATTTACACTCATGGATTAATTGGCTGGCGTGTTACCTCACCCGGATATTTATATTTTAAGCCCTTCATGGTGTAATGATTAAATGAAAAGTGAAAAAGGAAATAAGTAAGGAAAATGTCAGGGACCCCTGATGGTGAACTTGACCTTGCCATTTTGGGATGATTTGTGTGGGAGAGAAAGAGGGTGGGTCTCTTCCCACTCCCATTCCCATCACAGTGGCTGTTCCTTCCTCCCCCGTCTGTACATATAAAATTAGTGCTGTTTTGTTATTCACAAAGATCCCATGTCCCATATCACCAACATCTGAGAAGATCAAAGTCAGAAATCAAATACCATTGGCACAGGGATCGCATTCCCACGGACATCTTTGTTTGGCCATCTTGTATTTTGAAACACTGTGAATCATAAGTAAAACAGTGATACAGAGGGATCAAGGATAACTCTGAAAGACATTTGGTGGGAGTAATTAGATGAACGTTGGTGCCATCTGCAAAGATTAGGAAGACAGAAGCAGGGGATGGATTTGGTTTTTTTGGAGGGCCGGGTTGCAGGGAGGTGTTCGTGAGAATGAAAAGACCTATTTGGGTCATGTTGCATTGGGGATTCAGTTTAAGCAGCCAATGGAGGTGTCAAATAGACAATTGGTAGGAATCTTGAGCTCAGAGCAGAGGCAAAGAGGTTCAGACAACCTGTACAACCCCTCCTTCATGGTGGGTATCTAACCACGCTAGACCAAACTTACGAGAAGGTTACAAAAATGTGCATGCAATGCCTGGAGTCCAGGATCTTGTGGAAATCTGTACTCATTTGCTGACCAAGTATGAGGACATTTATGGGTCACACAGAGCACATCCAGACACACGTGCACTTGCGTTGAGCAGATCTGATAAAACATCTGGAAAACAGATAAAGAAGCCAAAGTCACTGGACTTGTAATGACTAATCTACCAAATAAAATAAATTTTCCAAGGTAGACATTAAAAATGGAAATGAGTTGATGACTTTTAAAATGAGGTGATTTCACTTAAAATTTGGCTCTCTGATTTCTCTTGGAAAGGTTCTGGCCACACCAGGCATGGCCCAGGTAGGGAAGGTGCTGGAGGTGGGCACAGTGCCCTTTAGACTGGGGGTCACTTCTGCTCACCACGGCAGCCCCTGTCTCCAGCTCACCTCCACCCCATTTTGCCAGTCTGCACCCCCAGCAGGGCTCCTGCAGCCCCCCCAGAGAGCTTCTGGGCCCCATGCTTTTCCTGCCCCCTCTCTCCCTGTCCCCAGCTCCTGCCACCTCGCCCGCCCCTCCCCCATCCACTCCCAAACCACATGCTTGGGCCCCAAGGCTGAGAGGCTGGGGGCTGGTTTCTGACATGTTCAGCTTCTCTTCAGTTAGGATGACTTGCTTTCCACTTCTCCTGATGTCCTAGCATGCGTCCCTACCCCTCATTAGCCCCTGAGCGAGACATTAGAAAGCATCCTCTATGAATAGGGCAATCACTGTCCTCGAAGACCACCTGTTGATAGGAGCAAGAATTGATTATGGTCTTCAAGGTTGACAGTTGTCAGCATGAAATTAGGAACAGTAAAACCAGTAATTACTACCACTTAAACTAGTTAACGTGATTTCCCTTCAAAGGGTGAAAGTGATTGAGAAGGAAGAGAATTTATTTCCAAGCTCCTTGAATAGCTGGGTCTGTATGGGATCCATTTAGAATGACTCGTGGAAGTTTGGTTCAATCTAAGTCTGGCAGGCAAACCAGTCAAGCAACCAAGGACCTTGTCACCCATCTTGTCAATTTAGGGTCAACCCTATTTCCAAGGAGGTCCAGGGAAGCCATGCCCGTTGGCACAGAGGGTTCTGAATCGCTGTCCCTGTCTTTGCTGCTGTTTTCTCTGGAAGCCTGGGGAGTTGGCAGCCTGGTGCCATGAGGGGAACATGGAACCACAAGCCTATGTTCTAAGCCTCCTGTGGCCTCCTCCGGCTGGTTTTCTGATCTTAGACAAGTCATTTTGCCACTTTGTGTGGCAAAATGCTTTCCTCATCTAAAATACAAGAAAATCAGAATTGTTCCTAGCTTTATCATTCTGTGATGTAGGTGGATGAAACATTTATTTTCCAACCATGTTCTGCCATGAAGTATCAGCGTATTTCAGAAGGATTTGCTGTCCCAGGCCAGGAAGGCAGGTGGGACTGCAGGACACAGACAGCCTGGACCCCCGAGGGCCCCTGTGCATGGTACCACCTCCCTCACTGTGCTTCCTGCCTCCAGTATCTGCCCGTTTCCCCCCTGGGAAGAGAGACTGCAGCCACCACATCCAGATGGAGAGATTCTCCTTTCATATGTTTAGGCAAGGTTATTATTATTTTTTTAAAAATACATGTCAGCCTTCTAAGAGGTGAGATAGGTTTGCTCTAAAAACAACTAACCAACACATGTTTAAGGACCAGGGCTTAGTGTTAGTGAGAGAGCTGGTTTTAAGCAGAGAGAGATTCAAATGGAGAGGCTAAGTTACTTCAGATTTTTTTCATGTTCATGTGTTTATACACATAATGAAAAATACTCACTCAAGCGTTAGAATGAGCTGTGTTCCTAACAGTCTGACTGTTATTCTCCGTTTAAGGAATGCTCTGTGTGGTATTTGGGGGGAGAGAGGCTGTATAGACATCTTTATTAGTTTTCTCTGCCCCCACAAACCTTACGGAAATATTAAGATTTTGGAGAGTTGTAGTGACTGTAAGCGATTAACTGGCTGAGCTGGGAAGTGCTCCCCTCATAAACCGCCCTCCCCTTCTCCTCCGCTGCTTTCAATCCAACAGCGAGATGACAAATGGGTAGCCCAAGATTACATTTTAATAATAACCAGTATATTTAGCATGATCCTGTACCATACAAAAGATGCAATTTTGCTTCTACGGTAAAAACATTCAGACCCTTTTTTCTGGGTCACAAATGAGATTTCTTCAAACAACTTTTTTTTTTTTGAAGGTTTGCTGCTGTTCTCATGACCAATCGTTATAATTTTTGAGGTCCATCCTTTACATAACAATAGACTGATCCGCAAATATTAACATAATGCAATGACTTAGTTGGGACCTGCGAACTCTTTTGGAATGAGGAGGATACTGCTGTTACCCCAAAGCAAAGCCTTTAGGGGACATGCCACTCAGCTCACGTTGTACCCCCAAAATAACATGATTTATGGAACAAATACTTATGGAGCACCAACCGTGGCCAAATAGTGTCCTAAGTTCTGGGGACATACGAGGACGAGAACAGATTAAGGTAGCCCCTGCAGCGTGTATATTCCAGTGAGAGACACAGATAATGAATAAGATAAATCAATTAAATATATTTAATTGATTCAGTGTATGCTGGGGAGTAATAAGTGCCGAGGAGAAAAATTTAGCAGAGCATGGGGAGAGGCCCAGCCGGGTTCCATTGAAAGATGGCATCTGAGTTGAGCCCTGCAGGAAGGGCGGGAACCGGCCACATGGGTTCAGGGAGTAGTGGGGTCGGGAGGTGGGATGTTCTAAGCAAAGAGAACAAGACCAAAAGGAGGGAAGAGCAACCAGCTCCTGACTCTCAAGGTTTCTTGGGCCATTTTCCTACAGTCTTTCAAGGGGAAGGAGGAATTTACCTCCAGCTTGGATTGTCCTGGCTCTTGAAGTTTAATCATATCCTAAGTCCTGGTGCCTGCCGCTGTGGTCCACAGCCATTATTTAGCCGGCTTCCTGCGCCAGTCTGATAGCAGACCCCTCATTGTTGTTTAAGTACGGCCTGCGCTCGGTGCTCATCACTATTTAATAGAGCAGCCGCTGACTGCCTCATAACTATTCATGATGAGCAGAAGGAACTAGCTCACACTTCTATTTTTGGTGCAAGGACAAGCTCAAGTCCCCAGTGAAGTTTCTAAACAGCTCTCGCGGATATTCACAGAGGAGTCCTCCCCATATGCCGGCGCGGAAATGCAGCTTGTCTAAGCATGACACGAACGCAGCCCCCAAGCACCCAAACGCTCTTCCTTTCATACAAGTATTTTAATGTTTGCATTCTTCTCTCTCTCTCTTTTTATTGAGCACAAACAAAATAAGTTAGTTAAGTAAGTGATTTGAAAGAGTATAGAGACCATGTGAAAAAAAAAAATCAGGCCAGAGTGTTTGGATCTGGGCTCTGCATATTTAGCATGATCCGGGCACATAACCCAGTTACTCGTGGCAGAATGAGGAATCTGGTTCAAGGTCAACTTCTAAGCGGGATGTTTTGGTTGTATTCAGATGAAGAGCGCACGCATCAGGCAAACATCTAGGGGGGCATCTGAGTGGAGTTGGCCCTAGGATTATTAAGGTTCAAGAGTGGACAAGCCCTCATGGGCAAGGAGAGATCTGTAGAGGCAGAGCCCTGAGGCTCCGTGTGGATTGCTTGGGTGGAAGGGAAAGTACCCGAGATGCAGTGTGGGTAGCCCTTCCTTGTTCTCTGTTAGAGGTAACTAACACAGAGATAAACCATCACTGAGAGAACTAGGCTCCAGAAATCTTTCCCAAAACAGATTTTGACAATTGTTGAGCTGGATTTATAGATGCCATAGGTTATCTCATTGATTGAAGTACCCAAATGATGACTGCTTCTTAAGAGGATGTTTCTGGAAACATTATTTTAACATCTAGTAAATTCTTATAATTCTGTAAAGACTGAACAACCATCCTTGTAACGTGGATTGCTAATTAAGGCCTTTATTGGCTTTTTTTAGATTTTTGTGCAATGTGGATTTTTTTTTTTTTGTTAATGTGGGCTGTAACTGGATACAATTATACCAAGCAGTTTTACTACCTATTTTCATTTACATTTAGAGAACAGCTCACTCTAAGAGTAATTTTCCGGTACACAAATTTTGAGATAAAATTATTATAGTAATTGCTTATTTTTTTTTTCCTATTCTGAAATGCCTTATCAGAAAAACTTAACTAATGTCAGGGAAGCTAACAAGCTTTGTGATTTGTCACTAAAGCACAAACAAAATGGCACCAGATGTAAATACGGATCCATTGGTAAAACCCCCATCCAACGAAATAGCTGTGCATCTCCTTCCTCCCTTGCCCTCCCTGCCATATCTCACATCTGACAAGTGAAAATGTTGTTGGTTTTAAAATTGCTTTCCGTTTGTTTCATCTAGCTTTTACATAAGAAAAGGGAAATTTATGAAGGCGTTATTGATACGGAATCAATCTCCATTGATAATTTGTATTTGCTAAACCCCGCCCCCCCAGTCTGATGAAATGAAAGAAAAAAAAAATCTCCTGTCATGTACTTTTCCCTTCCCCTCCCCCCAAGGAATTTGTGTAATTAGACCATAAACTAAGTTGGCACAATGTAACGTTGAACTGAATTTGTTACTGTATCCCCCACCCCAATCTCATTCCCAGTAAGAATACCCGGACTTCGGACACCCTGAGCAAGCAACAGCAGACCCTGAGAATGCACATTGACATACCCAGAGCTCAGCTTCTGATCGAAGAGAGAGACACGATGGAGACCATCGGTGAGGTGCCCTGTTTGCCCTTTTACACAGTGTGGCTGCCACAGCCATGCCTTCTCAGCCCAAACCCAGGGCATGGGAAATATTAGATGGGAAAGCATCGTGAATGCTACAGGAGTGTAAAAGTTAGAAGGTAGAGAATTGCTGCCCCTGCAAATGCACTTAATTACAAATTTGCCTTATATACAGCTCAGTGGTCATCTGGGACAGGCAGTCCCCAGCTCTGATCCACTTTGGGTCTTTCCCAGGGAGCCTAGCGATGCCACTGCATCTGTAGGATTACACCTGTAGTCAAATGCACACAAACCCAGGAGGCCGGCACAGGTTGGAAATCCACTCTGTGCTCTCCCCAACACCTCTGACGAGGCAGCCTTCATTAACGAGAACTTTTAAATCATACCTAACACTAGAAAAAAGAAATGTCTTTGTACAAGGCATCCTCCAACCACCCCTGGCACCCCAGAAATATCCTGGGACTGTTTCCTTTGCAGCACTTTGGGAAACACCCAGCCCCCTTGCTGCACGGTTTTAGAGCAGCCGCGGAGAGGTTTTGTGGCTCAGTCACCTGGAACCCAGGTGACTCGACACTTTCCTGGCTTTTTTCCCTCAGAGACCACTGCTCCATGGTGCCTGCCTCAATAGTGCCATTTGTTCCAGAAACAGAGACTTTATATTTTCATTGCAGTAATAGAACGGCTAACATTCATTGTGAACACTAAATGTCACACACACTTTTGTAAGCACTTTCTGTGGGTTATTTAATTTCACCTTCCGGCCAACACGTGAGAAAGGTTCTCTTTTTGTAACTGTGATGCAGAGAGGTTAATGTAGCTTGCCAAGGCCACACAGACAGGAGCAAAGCCAGGGTCCCCACCTGGCCTGCCCGCCTGCTTCACTGCCGTGCCATCGCCATGGGGATGGGCTATTGCCACCTGCTCCAACACTGATAGGCTACTTCGGATAAGGCCCGGCCTTAGAGGTTCTCCAAGCTTTCCAGTTTCCATGGAAACAGACTCTGCGGCAGGGTGGTGAGCTGCCTCCTTTCAAAGTTTGCTGTGTTTGTTTTGGAAGGTGTTTGCTGGCATGTGTCCCTTGGTGGCTCTTTCCTGGGGTCTGGATAAAACTACCTGCCTCCTGCCACATGCTGCAGCCACCTCCTGCCAGGAGCAAGAGGCCAGCTGGGCAGAGCAGTGGAGACATCTTGGCCTTATGGCTCCTGAATTCTAAAGCCCGGGCTGCCCTCGCTGGATTCACTTGGGTCCAGGCACAGCACCTCTTAGAGAAATGTTGATCAAATCCAATGGGCCCTCAATCAACTGATTTCAGTTGAAGACTCACCACATGTGTTGTGAGAGGAGGCACTACTTGCCCTAACTTGCATGAGAGTTTATTAGCTTGCTCACATCAGGATAAGGCACCCTGTTTTGCTTTTGAATCCCTTTTATTTTTTTAGAGGGATATCTGGGACTTTTTATTGAACTCAGTGGATTGGGCATTAAAGCAAAAATTTCCTTTGAAATATGGATTCAAAAATCAAAATATTCCTTTGACCCTGTGCTTTTACAAGCCAAAGCTTTATGCATATTATTTAATTTAACCCTTCCAACCAACATATGAAAATGTGCCACTTTTGCAACTGAGATCTAGAAATTATGTGCCTTGGGGAGGTCACCATGTTTGCTAAACGTGCCTCATTAGATTTGTTCATCGTTCTCCATAAGGCTGTTAAAATAGATACCAGCCTGTGAGTGGCGCATGGCCCGCAAGAGCCAGTCCTTGCTGGCTTAACACCAGAGAAGGCCTGTCACTCACTCCTGCGTGCAGTAATGACCCTTGGCTACAGGTCCATCACAGTGCACGCAAGACCATCCATCACCAAGAGTGGTTTACCTCCTGGTGTTGCCTGACAGCTGGTCGATGGCGTTTTCTAATTATTGGGGAGGTCGAACTGTGCTGCTTTAAAACGCTCTGGGCTCTGACTACAGGAATCCAATATTAGAGGGGCATTCATCTCCAGCCAGAACGAATGGTCAACCTCACGACCTGACAGGCGCTGAAATTTCCCAGCACACGTGGGCAACCCGGCCCCGCAGACTAGCTAGCGTGCCCTTAGGAGGCTAGAAGCCGTGGTGCTGCTTCCACATTACTGATGGAAGACGAATGCAGACAGGCAGCCTCTGGTGCCAGGTCCATTCAGTTGTCAGAAACTGTCTCTGTACAAAGGCGAAACCCTCTCTGCGGGGCCGAGTGCCGGCGGAGGGGCCGGGCCTCCAAGCCCAGCCCTGGTGCCCGCCGCGGTGCCAACCTGGGCTGGACCTCGCGCTGGGACGCTCGCAGACACCTTGGCAGCCTTCCCTCTGTTCCTCTGCCAAGAAATTTTGTTCTGACTTCAAGAGGCTTTCCTTTCCTGCCAGAGCTTGAGTAATTGGATTTTGTAGGGTTCATCCTGTTCAGAGCCTTTTTTGGGCACAGAAGCCTCACTGTGCTGTTTACGGCTTTCCCGTGGCCACCGCCGCGGGGTCAGGGCAGGCTGCGGCAGGGCCCCGCTGACTGATGAACTCACAGGACAGCATCCGGGGCTGCAGTCCTCGTCCATTTATGAAAAATCCATATAGCCTAACCTAAGTCTCCCTTGGAGTACAAAAGCCCTTAAGAAAGTGTGAAAAGCATCACAGCAAAGTAATGAAAATCCCGAGGCAACCAAATAATGGTGTAGCTCAAGCAGCTGCTCCTTCTCCAAGCACGGAGAAGCCCAGAACCCAGCTAAACCCAGGCTCTCGCCCCTCCCGCCTCCAAGTGCCTGCACCACGGGGACTCTGGAGACCTGACAGGTGAGTCACTTTAGGGGAAGTCAGTGAACGGATGGTCCAGAGTGACGAAAGCTCACAAAAGGTGGGAAGACAAGGAATGCACCTCCACTCCTTTACCATAGAGGAATCGATAGGCTTGGAATATTGGATTTTCTCTTCTTTTTTTTCCTCCCTCCAAACATTGCCCGAGTTCGGAGGGAGAGCCTGCCCCAGTGTCCAGCCCCCCAGTGGTGGTGTCCCTGCAGCCTGAGGGACCAGTTCTGAGCAGCAGCCCCGTCCCCGGCTGGTGCTGGCATTGCTGACGGTGTCTCCGATGAGCTTTGGACAAACACATGGGTCCGAAGCCCTGTTAGGCGGGCAGGCACAGCAGCAAGCTCCTCAAATCAATGCTTGATTAACGGAAAGACACTGGGCCTGGAGAGCGGAGTGCCCTCTCCTCGTGGCCACCCCCCTTCCCAGCTCAGGCTCCAAAAGTCAACCCTAAGCATCAGCTTCTAACCCTCTAGAGCAGGGGTCCTCAAACTTCTTAAACAGGGGGCCAGTTCACTGTCCCTCAGGCTGTTGGAGGGCCGGACTATAGTTTTAAAAAAAAAAAAAAAACTATGAACAAATTCCTATGCACACTGCACATATCTTATTTCAAAATAAAAAAGCAAACGGGCAAAAACACCCACGTGTGGCCCACGGGCCGTAGTTTGAGGACGCCTGCTCCAGAGTGATGCAGACACAGCACCTGAATCTGTGGCCACCTGTGTCTCTTTCGTGGAGGCCACTGCCGTTGTTGTCATTAACAGTAGCACAAGTGCCCACGGAGGGAGAGGCCAGGGAGTCACGGAAAAGGGATGACGTGCCTGGCTTTCTGTGCCCTGCCGTTCTGCAGATGACCGCTCCACTGTCCTGTTGACCGACGCTGACTTCGGAGAGGCAGCCAAGCAGAAGTCCCTGACGGTCACCCACACGGTCCATTACCAGTCCGTGTCTCAGGCCACCGGGCCCTTAGTGGATGTTTCGGACGCTCGGCCGGGAACAAGTGAGTGGTCAACGACACTTAAAACGCGGGGTGTCATCAGTGCTGAAAAACGCGTTAACACTCTGTCCCTAGCAAATGAAAATGTGGGGCTTTCCAGGCCTAGGCCTAAGAAACAGAGAGGTGTAATAACATCTTTAATTGGGATAATGAGTTTGTATTGTTTGATCTTAGCTCTGATTAAAATCATGTTGGTTGAACTCTTGGTATTGGTTTACTATGAAAAGTCCCAGAACTTTCAGGTCAATTTAATTTTTTTTTTTTTTTAATTTAGGCAACATAGGGAAAGGGGAAGGTATTTAACATCAGTGTGTGTCTCCTGTGTGCCAGTATTGGCATAGAAAGATGATGTCACACTTGTGATCCTTGTAACAACCCTGCAAGATACATACTCATAAAGTAGATATTATAGACCCTATTTTACAGGTGAGGAAACTGAGTCTCAGAGAAGTTAGGTGAGCAGCCCAAGGTTACATATAATAAGTAGTGAAACCAAGATTCACCTGTGGATCTGTCACCAAAGTTTATGATTTTCCCCCTGAACGCACTGTTTGAGAAAAATTATAGTTCTCACTAACCTGGAGATGATGTTGGATTCGGTTATTAATATTTGCATCCCCAATATATGTAAATTAATTACTGAAATGAAATTAAATCCCCTAATACGTGTCTAGAGCTTATTAATTAGATAGTCTTGTTTTTCATCATTGAAATTATTCCTAAATCTCTTGAAAGACTGAGAAATTGATGTCCCGATTATTATCATTTTGGGAGCTTTGATGTCTAGCCTTCACAAACCTCTAATCACTTTCCTTGAAAAAATTTACATTCTTGGAGTAGTGTATTATCATTAGGAAAATTATTATTATAATGTTAAAAGCCATTCTTTATAAATTCTAGCCTGTGAAGCATTTGTGAAAACCAGTGAGCTTCTTGAAACAAACCAGTTGCTTACTAAATAACATTGTAATATCCAGGAAACAGTTTTAACAGGCATTGAAGTTCATCTGAAAAATGTTTTTAAAACATGCTAAAGAAGCCTTTGACTTCTGCCTTCTGTCTAACCTTACCTCCTTCCTCTTAAAGACATTCGTGCATTCTGAGGACATGAGCGGGGCGTGAGAGAGAAGTAGCTTTGCCAAGGGGTGTGCGTGAGAGAGAGGCTTGCTCTTAAAACATGATTCAAGAGCTTCGACATCCAGCTGTTGGCTTCTCTCTTAGGATCTGCCTGGCCTGGCTTCTGCTACTTCGGGGCCCTGCTCTGATGGGTTTCTGAGCCACTTCTCGCTGTTAAATCAGGGAAGGGTTATGTAGACTCTGAAGGGATCGCGCTTTCAGGCTGATGAATCCCTGGCGTCAGCATTCCCTGGGCCCAGTCAGCATGGGCATTGTTAAAGACGGTGACACAAGAGCAGGAAGAAGACAGAGGCAGCAGGTCAGATGCCCCAGGGAGTATATGCAACCTCTTGAGTGCATCAGATCCATCCGGGCGCCTGTGTAAAACGTCCATTCCGGGGGCTGCACCCCCAGAGGTTCTGGCCCGGGAGTCCGCATTGTAACAGACACCCGGGTGGTTCTGATGCTGGGTGTTTGGACCGTCCCTGGGAAACACTTCCCCAAAGGTTGGAAATGTGTCCTGTGCACCACAGGAGGACATATGACACGGTGGTGTCACACAGAACCCCCCCCAGCACACCAGTTCTTTCTGCTACAATCAGCACAAGTTTCTACTTCCCTGCCAGTATTCAGCCAGCAGCGGAGAAATGCACAGAGGCTGATCGTAAATAGTTAAGACAGGGGGAGAGGCAGCGGAATGAAAGCACCGGGAACCTCCCAGCCGCAGAATAATGAGAAGTTGATTCGATGGCATTTAAAATATCAACAGAGACATGAATTTGAGTCAGAGCAGAGACTATAAACCACTGGTTGGTGAGCGGCAGGCGCGGTGCGTGTGGGAGGGACAGGTGTGTGCATCTCATGGCTGCAAAGTTGGAAGCGCAGCTGGGGACGGCTAAGAAAGCATTCATTCAGCGTTCACAAATATTTATTAACATTTCTCTTTGCATCTGTGGCTCCGTGCTCCGTGATGGGGATATGTCATGAGTAAGGTGCAGAGAGACATTCATCTCATTCCAGTGTGGGTGGCAGACATTAAACAAAGGACTAAGGTATTTTTCATTTCTCAATCAGCACTAGACAAAAGTGGAGCAGAGTGAAGTGATGGAAGTCAGGGGTTTGGGGGTGGGGGTAGGGGTGCTGCCTTGGATCTGAGTCGTTTGGGAAGACGTCGTCCATTGAGGAGAAGACGTGGATCAAGACCAGAGCCACAGCAGGGGCCGGCCTGCCAGGCAGAGGGGGCAGGAGGGAACAGCTCCCAAGGTCCTCCGGAGTGTTGGGGGCGGAAGCGTCACTGGAATGCAGCACGAGGCAGGGAAAGCAGTGAGGGCTGAGACAGAGACAGCTCTTCTCTTCTTGCAGGGCCTCAAAAGCCAGCGTCGTGCAAGTGCATTTCATTCTGGGAGGGATGGGCTGCTCTCCCAGGGCTTTAGCAGATACACAATCACACAGAGACACTGCAGCTCGTAGAACAATGTTTCTTTCCTCTGTGATGAACGCCATTCAGTAATGTTTACTAACATCAGGCACCTCTACTCAAATTCACGCCTCAGTCTCTGGCTCTCCCTAATCCCCGAAAGGAGATTATTCCTTTAGCATCTGCAGAACCCTCTGTGTTAGTAAAAATCGACAGGATCATTCTTTCATTAAATGTTCCTACAAAAACCACAGTGCGAGGGACTGACAACATTCCGCTTTTTATGTAGAATTAGAAGCGGTGGGGGACTGGCCCACAGCAGTTGCAGGGATCTGAAACCCATGAGCTTTCTGAGGCCCAGTCCCCTGCCCATTTCTGGTGTCCCAGAGCTTGTCACCTCTGTCCAGGTGTTAACACCTGTGTTAACTCAATCCCAGGGAGCAGGTTCTTCTCCCTACGGTTTGTCATATTTGCAGAGATTCATTCATATCCTCTATTTTCTCAACTACAAAAGATGTCATTATTCTATTTGGTGTGTTAGAACTGTTGTCATTGCAGGGATTCTTTCTTCTTAAGAAGAGCATCTAAAATATGTTGTTTGCACACTAGAGTGATTTCATCGTAGACGTTATGTTCCTAAGCATCTATTAGCTTGCCAAAGGGTTGCAACAAATTCTTATGAGGATGGGAGAAATCACAACAATTTGCTGTTTGCCTGAATCGATGTGTGAACACACATCCCCTGGCTGTATCTGCTGCAGGGTTTACTCCCCTGTCTGTCCTGTGGATTGTGATCCCACTTGAAAACTGGGACTGTATTTATGTCCTCATCCCCAGCACCAGCCACACTGTGTGATGCACAGTAGGTGTGCAGCAAACAAACACTCATCAACTATAAATTCTGAGAGCTGAGCAGTGGGAATAGAAAAGAAAGGATGTGGAGCAGCTTCAGCAGGACTTGGGCAGTCACCTTCCTTCCCCTCTGTTTGTCCTCCATCTCCTGAGATACCTGGTCATCTGGGAGGACGTGTGCCCTCCCCCGGTGAGAGGTGTCTCTTCTAACATGCACACAGTCTCTGCCCACACACTCTGCGGAGGCTTCCCAACAGGGCCAGTCTAGGAGGGCTTAAGTCAACTTTTCTACTTGCAAAAGGTATGAAGACAGATGAAGTAATAAGTACTAGTCTTAACTCTTTTTTTTTTTTTTTTGGTCATATGTACCTGGAAGTCATGTACTCGTTCATTCACTCCTGCAGAGAACATGTGCCAAGCACTGGTGATTTATGTAGGTGCTGAGCTGGGAAATGAACAGGACGTAGCTCCTGCTCTTAATACCTCTGCTATATTCAGCTCCTTTCTGCATCACAAACATTCTCTAGCATCTCATTTTATGATTTTTTAATGGGTGTTTGTCTGTTAAACCCTCCAAATTGAATCTTCAGCCTTTCTGATCAGCCCACTAAATCCCCTGCCTCCGTCATCCCGATAAGTTCGGGTTGTGCTCCATCGCCGGCCGAGAGTTTGCTGTGCAGGAAGCACGGGCGAGGCGAAGCGCGGTTTATGGAGTGAGCCCTGCCACCATGCCCGGGTGCTGCAGCACATCAATCTCACTGAACCCTTGCAACAGCTCTAAGGGTAGGTGGTGATGCCACTCAGTCTCCCCGAGGAGGGAATTGGGCACATCCAATGAGGTCACTTGGCCAGTTACACAGCCAGGGAGTGGTGACACGGACCACAAGCCCAGACAAGCTGGCACCAAAGCTCTCACCACTCAGCCACTCTGTGGTACCTGTAAGTAGAGATGACGCTACGTAAAGGATGACATGTCCTTTAGATATGTCTGAGGATTAACTGAAGATTAGACTTCACATGTACAGATATTAAGTAATAGGAGTTTGCAACACAGATTGAACCTTTATTGTTGAGACTTTGAAAAAAATATATATACTATCACCCAGAAAGGTACTAGAGATAGTACCGGGGGAAATCTCTGGCGTGGAAGGGGTGCATCCAGCTGCCCCGTGTGTAATAAGCTCTTGGTAAATATTTGCTAGTTAAATGAGGGAATGTTCAGGCCGTCCAGTTTCATCCTTTCTGTGGGGCAACTGGCGAACTCATTATGTAAAGCTGAGGCCTCCGCATCTGCAAGATCTGGAAACCAATAGCAAGGGATGAAAGCAGATTAATACCGTGATCACAGCACACATGACATGTCCTGCAACCCTATTATCCACAAAATCCTCTCTTATCCCAAATTCAGGATAATTAAAATAATTTGACTCAATGAGCAGAAGCTTAGTTCGGGTCCAGACCCCATGTTGAAAGGCCAGGAACTATTTATATCACTTACCCTCTAACTGATCAGCCGTTTAGCAAGCCTGATGCTTAATCACCAAGTTGTATTTGTATTAGAATGTTGAGGAGCCTAACAAAATCCTTTCCATGCTGGGGCAGTAAATCCCAGCATTTATTTGCTTAGTAGATGAGCTAGTGAGTTACACAAAGGAGCCTTGCCCAGGGGAATCCAAGTACAAATTTTATTTTAGCTGCTCTCTCAGAAGCTATGATACAGCAGAGTTCAGCTCAGGTAAAAAGCAATGGCTCCAAAAACCTGATTATTAAAGAAATGTGTCAAGTGCCCCGGTATTCTACATACTGAGACACTTTTGACTCTAGGATGCCTGTTCAGTGCAGAACAGACCTGCAGGCTGTGGTTCAAGGAAATAATATCATGACCTATATTTTCAACATTATCAGGCCACTGGTAAAACCGTCCTCATCTAGGAAAAAAGAGATAATGAGTAAAATTAACTCGAAAAGAGTTCTGGCTTTGAATAGAGACTGACTGACATGTGCCACTTTCCCAGGGAATTTTCCAAGTAGGGTGATCTCAGCTAGGAAAAGGGACTATGGGAGTGAAGATTTCTGCCCCACCAAGGGAGGTGAGCTCAAGGGGAGGAAACACGGGTGAGGGTTTGGGGTGTTCGAGGAAATAATTGTGTCCTCGAAGCATGACTATCAAACCCCCTTGCCCCCCCCCAAATACCCACGCCAGGGGTAAACTTACTCAAAACAATCTACAGTTGTAGTTGCAAGAAACTTAACCCTTTGCACTCAGATGTCGAGTGTGGATAATGTCGAGTGGATAATGAGAAAAAAGCAAGCGAGTGCAAAGGGTTAAGACCAAAAATGAGAATGCTGGGAACTTATGTAAGGGGTTGGGTAATTTCCTGGAAAAGATTCATTAGCATTTCAATCACAAGCTCCACTTATTTAAGCTCCACTTATGAAGTGGATAGTGCCTGGAAGACATTTAGCCTCCTACCCAGAATATTGCCTTCCTATCTCTTTGAGGCCCTCTCTCCCAGCATTTCAGTGAAGAAACGCGATTATAATTCACACCTTGTCTAGAGAGCTCCAGCATAGCTCATTTACATTCTAATTGAGGCAAAAAAAAAAAAATCTTCCCATAAAGTCTTCTGTGGGATTTTTGCAAATAAGGGATGAAGTGTGTCTTAAAATCAGTGCTCCAGAGAATGTGCACTGAGACCAAGTATTTTGATGACCCAGGAATTCTTAAAATATATCTATTTGGCTGCCATTTTAGCATTCCTCCCCAGCATCGTAGGATGATGGGCGAGGTTCAAAGAACAATAACTAGAAACCTGCAAAGAAGAAAATCTTCTATTTAAAAAGAAAGTCATTTTGCCTCTTCCTAGTGTCAGCTTTTCATGTCCTGTCATGGAATTATAAACAAGCTGGTGTCATGCAGACACTGCGCTGGAAACCTCAGACTCCCAGGATGGAGCCAGGTGTGGTGAAGTGACAGGCACTGTCTGAACTGGAAGGCAGAAGCTGTGGGTTTCTTTTCATCACGCAATGGCTGCGCCACTTCTCTCTGCATGCCGGGGATTACTGCAGGCTCTGGGGGTGGATCCAAAGAGGAACACCACTGGCCCCAGCCCCGGGCAGACCTCCAGGCTCGGGAGAGCTCATACATAAGTCACTGCGATCATGTCATAGCCTCGCCCTCTCGGTTTGGCTCCTCTGCAACTTCATGGCAGCTGAGCAGTGAGTGCACTGCTGTGTTTAGAAGTGGCCGGACCACTTTGAAAGGTAACTGCATAAAGTTCCCCTCTGAGAAGCAGAGAATTCAAATTCAACGTCCATCTAGGACGTTAGGTTGCTTTCAACATGGAGCCTCGGAAAAGTCATTCCAGGTAATGGAAACCCTCGCCTTTTCCGTAGTATTCCAGAACAGGCAATGTGGAGGCCTACTCCATCTGGTGCCCAACATTCTTTGCTGGTAGAATATCCTTCTTCTTCGCTCACCAAAGCATTGAGCCAAGAACTCGGTCCACTGTGTGGCCTGGCTACTGTTGGCTCAGATCCTACAGGAAGTAAAACCCATCTGGTGCCAGCTTAACCCTTCGTTCTGCATATTAAATAGTCCATAGTGCCTTTGTTCAAGTTCAGACAATTTCATCAAAGAGGTGTGCTGCCACATGCAGAGCGCTTAGACAATGCTTGGACAAAGAGGTCTGGTCCCTCTGCTCTGGCAGCTTTCAATTTAGGAAGTACAGCAGTCATAATTGAGACAATGAGTAAACATAAGACAACAGTAACACAGGAGACACCCATATTGGGTTCCCTGAGCTGCTGTAACAAAGTATCACAAACTGAGTAGGTTCACAGGATAGAAATTTATTTGCTTGCAACTGTGACACTTCTGTCTCCGCCTCCCCTGTCCTGTAGTTCTCTGCCTCCCCCACCCCGTGCCTGTCTCCTTTTCTTGTAAGGACTCCGGTCATGCCAGATGAAAGGCCCACCCAACTCCAGTATGACGTCATCATAACTAATTACATCGAAAACGACGCTATTTCCCAATAAGATCACACCCTGAGCTGCTGGGGGTTAGGACATGAGCATATCTTTTGAGGGAACATGATCATTCATAACCAGGCTTCAAGAAGGAGAACTTTGGAAAGAAAGCCGTGTTAGGGCACAGGGCAGAGCTCCCCCGTTTTACAGCAGGTGGTCATTCCCAGAAAGTTGAAATGATGTATGTGGCGTGACAAAATTATTAAGCACCAAGAGCAAGGCTCACATCTATAGCTTCAGAATCCAAATGTAGTGTTCTTTCTCCTGCAGCGTGGTTTATATGTGCGAGCATCAGAGGAAGGTTTTCAGGACACAGGGCGAGAGAAAGTATGCTCCACGCAGGAAAAGTCAGGGAGGGCTTCGCGGAGGGCTGGGGCGCGTGGGCAGGGCTGGGTGGCCAGAGCAGCCATGCATGTCCCCTCCCGCTGGCCCCGCTGCTCTGGAGACGTGATTCTTGGCCCTCTGCAGATCCCACCACCCGGAGGAACGCAAAGGCGGGGCCCACAGCAAGAAACCGCTACGCCAGCCAGTGGACCCTCAACAGACCGCACCCCACCATTTCCACACACACGCTCACCACGGACTGGAGGCTGCCCACGCCCAGGGCCGCGGGGTCGGTAGACAAGGAGAGCGACAGCTACAGCGTCAGCCCCTCGCAAGACACAGGTATGACCCTGCGCGCTGCTCCCTCGGTCCCTGGGGATAGTGCTCCTGGGAGGAGGGAGAAAGGGCTTCCTTTCCTCTACCCTTCCTCTTTGAAATGTCACTTTCAGCCTGGGAAGCTGTTTGGCGAACAGTCACCAGCACAGCTGTCTAGCCTTTACTTCCTATAGGGCCTGGTGAATTCTGCAAACCCAAACCAAAATGAATCTATTCTGCAGGTGTCTTGAACCCAGCGCGGGGCTGCTCTCTCTCTTCTCACTTCCTGCCCTGCTGGGAGAAAGAGCGCCGGTTTTAAATGTTCACCTACACGATTGCAGTAATTGCCCGTCCGGCCCGCCACCCTCTCCAGGATTAGGGCTCTGCACTTGCAGTTGCGTGAGGAGGTCACAGCGCCCTCTATAGGGGACATAGGCTGATCCGTTTGACAATTAAGCAGGGGTTGATTATAAGGCAAGACTTCTAGTCTGTGCCATCAACCACCTCGATTTCAGAGAGAAGACAGGGCCTAAGAATAGCACCCGCTTGCCAAACCCCGCCCCCCCCTTAAATTCTGAAAAGAAATTATATCTGAACCTAATAGCTGCAGGAAATTTTAACAGTCATTTTTCTTTTGTTCTTGATGATCTACTTCAAAAACCAGCATTCCAAAGGTGGAGGGTTGGCCTGCGGATTTATTTTTATGGCTGTTATTTCTCTGAGCAGAGTCTCAGAGTCCCATAGAGGTGACCTCAAAACTTCTTAGTGGCTTTAAAATACAGGGAGATCTCTCTGCCCAAGATGATGCAGCCCCGTTCAAAGGCACAAACTGGCACCTGGTTTTTGTCCTGGCTGTTTCCTAGTCCCCACAGAGGGTGGCAACAACAAAGGGATCAAGGGATCCCAGGGTTCGAGGACCATTCTGCCCAGTGGCCAATTTCCATGCCCAGTCTCATCTTCAACTCTAGGCATCATTGCATCTTCCTTCCCAAGCCACAGCCCGAGGAGCTGAACCGCAGAGCCCAAATCATTCATGCCAATTAGAGAGTCTCCACGGCACAGATTGGTTTGCAAGTCGGTGCAGGGAGGGGGGCCTCCAGTTCATTTATATTGAATCCCCAACTGTTTTCACTACAAGCAGAATTTTTTTAAGGAAGATGCATGCATGACTTATTTATGGAAATGTCCCAGGCTGGGGACATCAGACTCCAGTGAGTCAGTCGAAACAAAGGTTCCCCGAGCTGAATTTGCTCAGGCTTATGAAGCTGACCTCAGAGTGGCAGGGCAGGGCCCTCTGACGAAGGGCCGGAACTCCCGCCAGCTCTGACAGTGATCTGGAAGCAACAGCCACCAGCCAGAGAGGGTCACCTTGTGATGATGACTCACCCCATCTCGGTTTTCCTCTTTCCCGGTGCAGATCGAGCAAGGAGCAGCATGGTCTCCACAGAAAGTGCCTCCTCCACTTACGAAGAACTGGCCAGGGCCTATGAACACGCCAAGATGGAAGAGCAACTGAGGCACGCCAAGTTCACCATCACGGAGTGCTTCATCTCAGACACGTCCTCCGAACAGTTGACGGCAGGGACAAACGAGTACACAGACAGTCTGACCTCCAGCACCCCTTCAGAATCGGGGATCTGCAGGTTCACTGCGTCCCCCCCCAAACCTCAGGATGGAGGGCGAGTGATGAACATGGCAGTTCCAAAGGCACATCGGCCAGGTGAGAAGGGCAGCGTGGGGACGGGCCCGTGGGGAGCTGCATCCTCCTCATTCACACCCGTGTGCTACGAAAGCCCTTCTCGGTGTTCACACCAAGCAGATGTTCTGTTTATTGATGGCCACCTAACAAAACCTTCCAAAAGCTTGTTGGCTTAAAACAGCAGCGGTCACTCGTTTTTGTTTAGGAGTCTGAAACCTGGTCGGGGTCTCGTGAGGACAGCACGCTGGGGAGGCTCACTCAGGGAGGTGGCTCACTGGCCCGGCTGTGTCCTCCCTGTGCCGGCCCCTGCCACAAGGTGGCTTGAGCTTCCTCATAGCATGGCGGCTCAGTCGAAAACAGGCAGTTTCTTCAGCTTGGCTCGGAAACGGCACAGCGTCATTTCTGCCATATTCTGTTAGACAAGCGGTCACGGAGCCCAGGGAGCCCAGAGACAAGAGAGGGAGACGCCCCTGCTGATGAGTGTCGAACGCATGCAGACTGTATTTCAAAATTGCTGCACTGAGGGCTTTTGAAGGAGAAAGGTCTTCCCGGTAGCCAGTGTTGGGAACTTGGCAGCATGAAGGTCAGTAACAGGCTAATGTTAGGTCAGCTGGTGGTTTGGCCTTCAACTTGAGCACGTGTGAATAGACAGCTGCAAAGTCTAAGGTGTGCAGGGCCTGGCAGATAATGTGAATGAGCGAAGACTTCAGGGAGCAGGGTCACAGTGGGGATGGAGACATGGCGACTGCAGAGGCCATGGGTGTCTAAAGGAGAAGGTTCCAGAAGGCTCTGCCAATTGATCTCAAGTGGAAATGAGGGGCCTAGGATGGGTGAGTGTTTTAAGAGAAGCCAGACATTTTGGTTGTACATGAAAACTCAGGTTTTTAAGTGTTGGCTAAGGTATTTGGAAACCTTTTGTGCAGAGCAAATAAAACACATTTTCAGAGTGAAACCAACGCTTGGTGGTCAGTTGGGGTTCCCACTGGAGTAATCACTTTTTCTTTTCCACCCTGATATAGCTTCCTGTAGACTTTCCTTCATGGACTGACCTATCCAATCTTGTCGAATTCAGTTTTATTTCTCATTTCATCCATTTTCTGGACCATTGTATTGGTTCCATTTCAAAAATTTATCTTCACTTTTGAATTACAGCCATTCCCTTGGGTTTTTATGGCACCAGGCCCAGCTGAAATGAGCCTTATAAATGCATAAAAATATATAAAATAAGAATTGTCTATCCAGCAAGTAATCTTCCAAACTGACTCAAGATTCAAGCCAGCGTGCAATAAGGCATGACGGCTTCATTTATTCTTCTTCTGCCTACCTCCTCGGGGCAAAGGACAGGACGAGCTGTTATTTATGGGTGTTTTTTTTTTTTTTTACAATATTTCAAGGTTTTTTGGTGGTAGCGGCATTGATTTGCAAGGCAAATGCAGAAAAAACGCAGGGTAACTGCCGTGGCTTTCTGCAACTGTTCAGCCTGAAGGTGAAGACGGCAGGAGAGGGGAAAATGAGCCTGGGAGTATGATGCTTAGCCTTGCTTGGCTTCACTGCTGCATCTGTAAAATGGGCGTAACATTGGTGCCTACCACTGGGGTTGTGTGAGACACATGTGGCGTAGTGCATGTGCAGCGGCTGCAGAGAAAGTGCCCAGCGATACAAGTCGTTTCTGTTGTTGTCTCCTGGATGTGGTTGTTGGAATCCCACGGGGACTCCAGGTGTGCTGCCGCTCCTCCCCTGGCTGCCTGCTTTCATTTTCCTCCAGTGGCCTTGGAAGTCCTGGAAGGCACCCACCTCATTCATTTTCGCATCACCCCAGTTTAGTAGCTTGCGCTTCCACCCAAGATGACATGGTCACCATTTCCCCTTCGTGTGTGATTTAGAGCATAAATGAGCTTCTAGGTTAAGTGACCGTCCTCTTTGTGCTGGCCTTTAAATAATTAAAGGTTTGGGGCTACTTTCTGATGGCATGTTGTTCATAGGGCGGGATTAATAATAGATATTTTTTTAAAGTTGGACTTTGTTCCCGGCATTGTTGCCTGGATCCATTTGAACAACTGAAAGATCACAGCTACGTTACTATTAGCCTTGATATACTATTTAGAGTAGAATTATTTTTAAACTATAGATGTGAATGATTTCTTAAATCAATGTGAGTTCTAATATCTACAGACTTTGTTTTGTCTACCCTAGATGACTGTCATTATGGAACACTCGATATGCTTTAGAGCTGTGGTTCCCACCCCCCAGGCTGGGGACCAGCACTGTCAGGAGCCAGGCCACCCAGCAGGAGGTGGGCAGCGGGCCAGTGAGTGAAGCTTCATCTGTATTTACAGCCGCACCCCATTGCTCGCATCACCGCGTAAGCTCCGCCTCCTGTCAGATCAACGGCAGCACTAGATTCTCAGGTGCATGGACCCTGCTGTAAACGCACATGCAGGGGAATCTAGGTTGTGCGCTCCTTGTGCGAGTCTAATGCCTGATGATCTGAGGCAGTGATGCTAGCGCTGGGGAGCAGCTGCAAATACAGATTATCCTTAGCAGATAAGTTTGACTGCACAATAAATGTGATGTGCTTGAATCATCCCCACACCATCCCCCCAAACCAACCCTGGTCTGTGGAAAAATTGTCTTCCATGAAACTCATCCCCGGTGCCAAAAAGTTTGGGGACCGCTGCTTTAGAGAAATATTTCAGCCTTTGGAAGCCTTTCTGTTGCTCCTTTATAATGCGACTAAATTCAACATTGGGCACAAAACACAAGGTTGCGATTTATTGTCCTGCTGACTAGAGGCTGTATCAAAATTAGCAGCTTCCTGAGCTGTGATTTTTAATTTTTTTAATTTCTTTTATTCATTCATTCATTCATTTTAGAGACAGGTTCTCACACTGGCACCCAGGCTGCCCAGCTAGTTTTTTTTCTTTTTTGTAGAGATGGGGTCTCACTATGTTGCCCAGGCTGGTCTCAAACTCCTCAGCCTCCCAAAGTACTGGGATTACAGGCATGAGCCACACACCCGGCATTGTGCTTTTAAATCACATTCTTTACCTGTGTGCCCTCTTGGTTCTATACGGTGTCAGTCACTATCTGTTTCTGTTCGAAGTCTTCAAAATCTCTGGATCTCACTACTCAACAATTAGCTCTTCTTCTTTTTGTTGATCCTTTTTTTTCTCTTACCTTTTTGTTCTATTTTTCTATGTTCAGTACCAGTAGTTACAATCCCAAACTTTCAAAGATTCTCTACAAATCAGGACCAAGTTACATGAACTTGGCCAGATTGTGGCTCCAGAAAAACAGAAAACATGCGTTACTCATCTTCATACACCTTTCCCAGGGCCTAGCAATTACCTGGCAGTCACGTGGTTAGCATTCAAGAACTATTTTTAAATGTCCAACACTGTGCCTGGCACATAGTAGGTGCTTTATAAACGTGACTGAATGAATGAATATATTATGGTTGTGATAATCATGAGACTAACCAATTGGTCATAATATTTTGATTATTAGAAGTAATTAGTCAAATACAAGAGAACACTTAAGTCTACTCCATTTTCAGCTGTCCTTTAGACAAAGTGATTTATTTTCAATTCTTGCCCTTAACAAATCAAAAGGAAATCTCATCAACAGATAAAGGGGTGCTCCCCTGTGAATGGTGGATGGCCGTACACAAGGCAGCCAGGTTTTTAGGACTTGTACAAAATGAAAAATGCTAATCATGTGATCATTCTGTTGTCTTCAACAAGCGATGACTATTCCCATCTTTAAAAACAGAAGACGAGCGAAAATAAACAAAACTCTCTGTTCCTCAGCTTAACAGCTTTTCTTCCTCTGGGTCAGGGGAGCTTCCAATATCCATTCTTGGTTTCGGGTAGCATTTTGAGCCAGTTTCTAACGCTCTTGGATTCCAGCTTTTTCTTTATTCATGATGTTTATCCTCAGTAATCGAGATGCCATTGCATCTCTTAAAGCTTCAAATCCACACCCTAGTGCAGCCTGGCCTCAAGCAGTGGGCTCGTGGCAGCCCCATTGGAGCTCTGCACTGCCAGCCGTGAAGTTGTGCAGCTCAGCCCCTCCCCAAGCGAATGCACTTGAGGTTTTGCAGCTAGAAATGCTGACTCACTGCCTGGGGACAACTTGTTGATTCTCTGAATAACCAGTTATTTGAAGCCGTTATTGGATTTTGATTTTAGGATCCATTCATCTTGCACGTCACTCTCTCCTGAGAGTGTGTATGTTTAATAAATGAGGTTGCGGAATGAGAGGCGGGTCCCAGGCAGCAGAGAGGCCAGGAGCCCTTACCTGAAGGTGCCCTTACCTGCAGGAGAGCTGACCTCTCTACAGGTCGGTGCTGTCCTGGCTAAGGTTGGCTGTCTTGTGCTCAGTTGTCATTTTGATCCTGCTGTTTTCTCTCTCTGAAGTCTATGTGGCTCTTGAATCAAAATTAGACTCTAGAAATCTTCAGTGCTAAATAACCACAACTTCACGAACCTGAATCTCTCTCGCCACCTGAGGACTCGAGATCTGCTCCTGGCAGGAACACCGGCTCAGACTGCTGCTCCCAACCCAAAGCCAAGGCTTCACACGTCATTGCTCTCCAGCTAGGTGTCTCCTCCTCCTCCTTATCCTTTGGTTCAGGCAGCTGGGGCCCGAGCCTTGAGGCTGGCATCCTCCTCCTCCCTGTGCACATCACTAACATTTCATTTCAAAATTTCTATCGTGAGTGTGATTCTAAGGGCTGTGGAAGGGGCCTCCTTTCCAATGCAAGCATCTTTGCTGCCTACACATATGCACATGGGCACACATGCACACACACATGCATGGGCACATATGCACACGCATGCACACGTTCATGGGCACATAAGCACACATGCGCGCACACCTGCATGGGTGTGCACACATGCACACACACCTGCATGGGTGTGCACACATGCACACACACCTGCATGGGTGCACACACATTTACACTGCATGGCTCTGGGCTCTGCCCTTCTAGAGATAGCCCTGCTCCCTCCCTCCCAACC